ATGACTCCTCAATTTCAAGACACCTGAAGACCAAATATCTCGAAGGCCTATCACCTATAGGGAAATATGGGCAACCATATTTGGCATGGGGAACCAACAAGGCCTTTGGAAAATAGAATATATAGAACTTTATTCAAGTTTAAAAACTATTTAACAAATTATCAAAGAATATTAATTACACCTAATTACAGAAAGACTCTTCATTTTTATGGAGTACCGAAAGTTCACAAAACGAATATACCACTTAGACCTATTTGTAGTGCCATTAATTCTCCTTCTAGTAAACTGTCAAATTTTTTATTAAATATTATACAACAATTTGCACATTAAAATGGCACATTTAAAAAAATATAAATTTTTTAAATAATTTATCGAATATTAAATTTAATTTAAATAATATTTTAGTAAGTTTTGAAATAAATAGTTTATTAAGAAATATGCCATTAGATAAGCCTTTGAATATAATCAAGACAAAATTAGAAAGTGATACATTGGCAACTAGAACAAGACTAAATATATCAGCTATAATGGAATGGCTTCTGTTTGGTTCTATGAGCATTAATTTTTTTGACAGAAGGCTAACCTTGCTTACCAACCCCCTTTTCGAAGGACCATTTTTTCCTTCCTCGTCAGCCTTGACCCTGCCTTCCATTGGGGTTGGTTACCCAATCTTCAGCAAGGTTGCTCAGGTTTTCCAGGGTCGACCCGTGGTATAGGAATTGAGTAGGAGAGGCTAGAGAATGCTAACTGGAAACAGCATCTTATATTGCGCTTCACTACCCCTTTGAACCCCACTTCCATTATAGCTGATATATTTGGTCTCAGTCTCAACATCAAGGTCATTAAATGTTAGAATGAGTGAACATCAATCTTTTATTAAAACATAGAATTTGATAAATCTCAAATTGTAAATACGCATGAGAAAATGAACGTAGGGTTCAATGCAACGATTCAAGTATAGTCCTTTCAAGAAACAGATGATAAAGAGCCAAAAATCAAAGACAGAAGCGTAATTAAATGAGACCAATTGTATCGCAAATTCCTTGACAGAATGCAGTAGTAGGATCTGGTTACCCATCTTCAAATATGAAGTTAATAAAAGGAAAATGCCACTATTAGTAAGTCAGTAACATATCCAGGATACTTCTTTTATGTTATCAAAATATAATACACATGAAATCAGAATTTGATATTTATTGAAAGTCAACTAAATGTGTTTTTTCCTGGTTTTTACTCATGGTTTACTATGGAATCGCTAACAGCAGAATTTTTCTGTCATGTGGCATGTGTTTGTCTTTTTAAAGACGAATCACATACTATGATTTTTTATGACGAATATTCTCAAGTAAAAGTTAATTTCATGTAATCAAATGAACTATCTCAAAATAAAGTAGTCCCAGGAACGCAACGCAACCCAGGATTGAATTGTCAATATAAATGGGTAAGATAAAATTAAATTATTAGAAGAATTTTTCACCAAGTAACAAAAAACCAAATTTGTTTATTATTGTTTGTTTTAAAACTTATTTTAAACTTTAATTGTGGCTTATTTCCATTAAATAGTAATTTCTTCAAAATGCCTTAACGCATGCCCTTATACATAATATTGATAACAGACCCATACAATTTCAACATTACAACAGCTTAAATTTGGTAAAAATACTTTTTTTAAATATAAATTTTTAAAATTCACTTAACAACTTAAACGATATGCTACTTTGTGTGCAGTGAACGCCCAGATTGAGTGATCTATCTGCCTCTAACTTGCGACTTCGATTATCTACTGTTCTATTCTACTGATCAACTTGTCATGTTTTATGAGGTAGTTTAACAAGTTCGTTATTCTACGAATATTTAACTGTATATGAATTATTAACATATAAGTTCATAAATTGTCCATAATCAAAACCTTGTAACAGTGTTGTCGGAACAGACAGTTACAAATCTCAGAATATAGTGTTTACACTTTAGATGCTCTGCTATAGAAAGATAAAAGGCGAGATGACTTGATGCAAAAAAATTGTTTTTTAGAAGTTGCCAAATCAGCTTAAGAAGTATCTCTCAGATATGACGCGAGCAGCGGTGTTACCTCAATCTTTTAAGAAGCAGATTATTTATTATTTTATACGAGATGAAGTAGAATTTTTAATATTCTCTATCTATCTATCTATCTAATTAGCCTTCTTCGGTCCATCTTTGGACATAGGCCTCCCCAATCCTTTTCCATTCTTCTCTGTCTGTCGCAACAGTCATCCATCTAGAGCCCACGTCCTTCTTGATATCATCTGCCCATCTCATTTGGGGCCTTCCTCTGCTTCGTTTATATTCCCACGGTCTCCAACTTATAAGAATTTTGTTCCATCGGTCTTCTTTTTGTCTTATATTGTGTCCGGCAAATCTCCATTTCAATTTTGCAACTTCTTGTCTAACATCCCTCACTTTTGTTTTCTCTCTTATCCACTCGTTTCTCTTCTTATCCATTAGTCTTATGTGCAAAATTTGTCTTTCCATTGCTCTTTGGGTTTTTATGATTTTGTCCATGTTTGCTTTTGTAAATGTCCACGTTTGGGAGCCATACGTAAGAACAGGGAGTACGCATTGATTATATACTTTGGTCTTAAGATGCTGTGGATATCTTTTGTTTTTAAGAATGTAGCTTAGTTTGCCAAATGCCGCCCATGCCAGTCTAACTCGTCTCTTGATCTCTGCTGTTTGGTTCTCTTTGTTAAGTTTTATAGTTTGACCAAGATATATATAATCCTTAACTTGTTCTATTTCATCTTGTCCGATTCTCATTGTGATGTCTTCATCTGTATTTGTTATAGTTTTGGTCTTGCTGTAATTCATATTAAGGCCTATATTTCCAGCTTTTACGTCCAGTTCTTTCATCATTTCAAATAATTCATCTTTTTTATCGGTTATCAATACGATGTTATCAGCGTAACTTAGATGGTTCAAGCGTTGTCCACAAATTTTTATACCTATTTTTTCCCATTCTAATCTTTTAAAAGTATCTTCAAGAGCCTGATTGAAAAGTTTCGGTGATATTGTATCACCCTGTCTCACGCCTCTACTTATTTGTAATGATTTTGTTCCTTCATATACTTTAATTTTTGTTTTGGCTTCCTTATATATATTGGTTATTAGTTCCGTATATCTGTGGTCAATTCGGCTGTTAATCAAAGAACTTTTCACTGCCCAATATTTGACACTGTCGAAAGCCTTTTCGAAATCTATGAACGCCATATATAGAGGAATGTGGTATTCATTTGCTCGTTCTATAAGTATTTTCATACTTAGTAAATGGTCACTTGTGCTGAATCCCTTTCTAAAACCAGCTTGTTCTTTCGACTGGTATCCATCGAATTTTGTCGTCAATCTATTGGTTAAAATTTTTGTTAGGAGTTTATACATTACATTGAGGAGTGTTATAGGACGGTAGTTTTTTATATCTGCTTTATCCCCTTTCTTGTGTAGGATAATGGTTACTGATTCCTTCCAGTTATTTGGGATTTTTTTTTTCTTTTAATATCCTGTTAAAAAGGGAATGTAGAGTATTAATTACCACTTTTCCACCATATTTCAGCATCTCTGTAGTTACTCAATCTTTTCCAGGCGATTTGTTGTTTTTCATTTCTTTCATGCCTTCTTTATTTCTGATTTGCTTATTTCGGGCTGCAGCTCTGAGTTGACATTTTTTATTTTGACCTTAAGTTGGTTTTTAATTTCTTCTGGTGGTTCCTTTTTTGTTTTATATAATTCTGAGTAGAAATGGTGGATTATATTTATGATGTCATCTTTAACGTTTGTTTCTATTCCATTTACATCTTTTATTTTGTTAATTTCAAACTTACCTAATTTCGGCCTTAAGCATTTCATATTTTTGTTGTTTTGTATTACTTCTTCTATTTTTATTTCTTGTTCTTTTCTCTTACTTTCTTTTATCATTCTGCTTATTGTTTTATTAATTTCTACATATTCTATAGATTTCCTTTTGCCTTCTTCGTTCAGCTTCCTTCTTTTATCCATAAGCTTCTTTGTTTCTGTTGATATATAGTTGTTTTTTTAGATCCTTCTTTGCTATTTCTTTTCCTGATGTAATCATTGTTGCTGTAAGTATGTTGAATATTTCGTCTATATCTTTATCGTCACTGTCTAATCTTTGGGTAAGTTGTTCTTTTAATAGGTCTTTATATATCTCTTTATATTGACCTAGTTTGTTTCTATCTACTAGATTCCAGTTTCTACTTATTTTTCTTTTCATCTCATAGTTACCGTCAATACTAATTTTTGCTCTGACCATCCTGTGATCGCTACCTGTTGTGAATCTGTTAAGAATTGTTACATCTTTAATGATATATCGTTCCGTGGATAGTATGTAGTCGATCTCATTTTTTGTGGATCCATTAGGGCTGATCCATGTCCACTTTCGTTGGGGCTTCTTTTTGTAAAAGGAGTTCATTGCGTATAGATGCTTTTCTTCTAGGTAGTTCATCAAAGTATCACCTCTATCATTTCTCTGGCCATACCCGAAATCTCCTATTTTAGTTTCTTCTTTGTTTAGTTTTTTACCCAGTTTGGCATTGAAATCTCCAATTACTAGTGTAAGATGATTTTTATGTTCTTCCATAGCCTTTGATATATCTTCATAAAATAGTTCGATATTTTCTTCATCATTATTCTCACTGTTGCTAAATTATGAGATTTATAGCTTGTTGCTTCTATTAAATTTTTTATATTAAATATATACAGAACTATTTAATATTAAAATTAACTAAATGTAACTTAAATTATAATTCTAAAAATATTTTCAGGTAATATGACCAATATATCCTGTAAAATTCTTCTATCATTTTTTTACAGTAGACATTATTTTACTAAGTAGACAATAATTTTCCTAGACTATATCAGATATTTTCAAATAATAAAATCGTAAAATTCGCTAAAAACTTCATTTTTCGCCAGTGCGACTTTGGCAACCGTCTAGTTTTCGAAATATATTTAGATACCTGTATTGTTTTTATAACTTTAAATAAGGTAGTGAGTCTTCCATTAAATCCACAAGTTTGTCACGCATCAGTTGTTGTGTAAGTGCAGTAAGGAGAAATTATTTTATGGAACATACTAAATTATAAATTAATGGTAAGTTTTCATTTATAGTAACCAAGATTAAAAATTATATAAATAAATTATTAATATGAAAGAAAGTAAAAAGATTTTTAATATTTGTATCATTTAAGGTTCCATTCAATCCTCAAATAGTTATTACGTAGATTGCATATTTTTTCTACAAGAAATAAAATTCTTCTTCTTTGGGTGCCGTCTTCAATGAAGGTTGGCGATAACCTCAGCAAAATCATTTCTGTCCCTGGCTTTTCTTATTAAAGATTGAGAATCCAAACCAATCCACTCACGAATGTTCTTCAACCAGGACGCCTGCCGTCTACCAGGACCACGTTTTCCTTCTACCTTCCCCTCTATAAGAAGCTGCAGTAGCTGGTATTTCTCATTTCTGTATATGTGTCCCAAATATGAGGTTTTCTGTGTTTTCATTATTTTTAAGCGTTCTCTGTCGGTACCCATCTTGTGTAGGACCTGCTCGTTGCTCATATGCGCTGTCCAGGGGACTTTCAGCATCCTTCGAAATAACCACCTTTCAAAACTTTCCAAACGCCTGAGTGAGTTGATTTTGAAGGTCCAGGCCTCCATTCCATATAGTAAGGTGCTGTAAACGTAACATTTCAGCATTCGGTATCGGATTTTGAGATTGAGTATTTGGGACGTAAACATTTGTTTCATTTTTAAAAAGACATTTCTTGCTTGTTCAATTCGCGATTTTATTTCTATGTCTGGATCTATATCTTTAGTTATACAGCACCCTTGATATCGAAATTTCTCGACATTTTCGATAATGTTACCATTCACGTTTAAAGCCATGGGTGGATGGATGGATGTTTTGGAGACAATCATTGTTTTTGTTTTCTTGACATTAATGCTGAGGCCGTATTGTTCTCCGATCGATCTGACGCGATCTAAGAGTGTCTGGAGATCCTGTGAGCTCTCTGCAATTAGGACTGTGTCGTCGGCGTATCGTACATTATTTAGAACTCTGCCGTTAATTTTAACACCTTCTCTTGATTGCTCTAGTGCTCGTGCAAAGATTTCTTCCGAATATATATTGAAAAGTAGTGGTGACAATACACACCCCTGTCGTACACGTCGCTTGATATTGAATATTTCTGTGTCACCGGCTTCTGTTCTATATTTGATTAAATAATTTGACGATTATATTTAAATGTTTCTCTTTCAGTAGCTTTATGACTTCCGTATGTATGTCATCGAGACCAGGAGCTTTCCCATTTTTTGCGTTTTTGATTGCTCCCTCTACTTCTTGTTTTAATATAGGAGGACTGGTTTCATGGTTTTTGTATATAATGTTGTTTAGTGGTGTGTCCGAGAATAGTTCTTCTATGTAATGTCTCCATACGTTGTTTAGATCGCTTAATTCCCATATTGTTTCATTCTCGTCGTTTGTTAATCTACAAGGGAGTCTTTGTTTTGTCATTCCAGCTAGATCTTTTATTTTTTTGTGAAGCGTTTGACTGTCGTGTTTCTTTATTAATTCTTCGATCTCTTGGCATTTTTCTATCATCCAATCTTCTTTTGCGGTAGCTATTTCTTTCTTGATTTGACGATGTATCTCCCTATATTTTTCATTATTTTTATTTTTGTATATAGTATAATAAAATAGTTACAGAATATTTCATATTTTCAAAATTTCCGCTCGTTATTAGATATCTTCTTCATTTACATTTGCAATTAAACATGTATTCTACAACTTTTTTTGTGTTCTATATTTTTTAAGTTTCCTATGGGCTAAATTTAAAACGACCTTTTTAGTCTTCTCTGTATCATAATTTATTTACTAACATTTATTTTATCAATAAATTTATGGCTTCATATCATACCATTACTTTGAAAACGAAGTGTTTTAAGATTCTTGTCCTAACTAGATTGCTAAATTACTTTGTACGCCATATATTTTTTGCAGAATAATAATTCTGCAGCTATTTTAGACATTTTGGATATTTGTCAGGTTTTAAAAATCCGTATTCTTAATGTTTGAAATGGAATATTGTTTTATTTCCATTATCTTTAATTTTAATACATATCTGTGCAATATCTTTATTTGTATATTTTTCTTTGTATAGCCGTGCTAACACTGTATAACGCTTTACATGCTGCGTCGTTTGATCTCTTTTCGTTTACAGCTGATTGGATGCCATTTTAGTAAGATACGCATTTTAGTTGTGAAGCAGTTCGTTTGTAGAGTGTAGGGTGTTGTTTGCATTTAGATTAGAATTTTACCAAAACTTTTCATAAAAATTAGTTACGGAATAACAAAATCATAATTTAGAAGTAGATTTGTAAATTACTTTATTTATCATTTTTGGTGTGCGTGTGTGTGTATGTGCGAGTGTGGACAATGAATTTCATATTTTGTTCATTTGTGTTAATGTTAATTTTGCCGACTCCTATTCGTTCCTTTGCAACTTGTATTATATTAAAATGTATTTTTGCGCAAATCTCGATTAGATTTTCTGTTCTGGTTACTGAGGCTGTCTTACATCTTTGTTTTAAGCTTTTTTTACTCTATCCTCCTGCCTATAGTAATGTTTTTTCTAAAATTAATATTTGTAGCTTTCAGACTTGCTAAAGGACGTTTAAAAAGTATCTGAAAAAATGTTTAAAATCTTAATCCTAAAATATTGATTTTATTAATGTCCTACATAACGAACAAATTATGTAGGTTGTTGATCTTTTAAATAAAAAATAATGTACTTCTCATATGACTCTGGTTGCCTACATTATGAGATTAGTAAAGGTAAAAAAATGAAAAAAAATAAAGATGTTAATATGTCTGTTATTTTTGAGACTATAAAAACAAGATTCTTATAACCAAAAAGTGTACACTATAAATGTTTGAAATAATAAAAATATATAAAATTTTTGCATTTTCGTGAAAATCACTAAAACAACGTCTTGCAGTTGTAAAACATAAGAAAATTGAACATTTTTTGCAAAATATGGAGTTGTTTTCAATGTTAAAAACATTGTTGATTTCATGGAGCAGCCATCTTTTCTGTATCTGTTTTGTTTAGGGGCATAATCTGGCATGTGTATTACTTTTTGTTGCCTTCGTATATTTAATTGTAGAACGAGTAATGAAATTCAATTACCTAGGAGTAGAGATTACTAGTGACAGGGATATAAGAACAGAGACCACAAGGCAAGCATCAAAAGCAACAAGAGTAAATAGTTGCCTCCGAGAAACCATATGGAGAAACAAATATCTGACCACGGAAAGCAAAATGAAAGTATTCAAGACAACAGTAAGACCAATCCTAACATATGCAAAGGAGACAAGGACCGATACAAGAAAGACGAAACCACAAATCAGCAATATCGAAATGAAAGTATTAAGATCAATAGCGGGCATATCATTAAGAGACAGACAACAGAAGTATACGCGAACAACGCAAAATTCAAAATATTAACAGGTGGATAAAAACAAGCAAAAAAATATGGAACGAATATGTAAACCGAATGGGACCAGATAGATTAGCGAACATCTGTAAAAACAACAAACCATATAGCAAAAGACCCGTTCGAAGGCCTCTAAAAAGGTGGGAAGATAATGTACAGTCAACAACGACTAAATCAAAATAAGAGGCAGGCAAACAGAGAATACATTATTATGCGCTCCCTAACTTTCGCGTGATTGGTTGGTGGGTGGGTCCCAATTTAAAAATTGGCGGGTTTCATGTTTATTAAAATGACAATAAAATTGAGGTATTGTGGCACAGGATATCGCTAAACAATTTATTAGCAATATATTGTGGTATTGGTATAAAGCGGATGATATTCACATTTTAGGATTAAGCTGACTATATATAGTACAGTTTTATTAGAAATTAAAATTTATTTTTCTTTTGACATTATGTAGGTAAAATGAAATTCTGACATTGTGTTTATTTAATTTTGATATGCTAGTGATGCTTTTTTTTTATTAGATATATAGATATTGTTTTAATTTTTTTGTTTAGGTAATTTTTTATTAAGATTTAGAGGTTCCTCTTATTATTTTGATTTCTAGAACATTCGTTACCATTATTATTCTCATTAGCTTTCTCTATGTGGAATCGGCTTCTCTAAGTATTTTCCTCTAAACTTTTCGGTTCTCTTCCAGGGACTAAGTACCTCTCCGCTTTTTGTATGAGATTATGGTTTTTCAGAAACATGTAATTTCTGTTCATCTCCTTTTTTACTGCCCTACATTCAGAACCATACACCATAGCTAGTCTAAAGGCAGTCCTATACAATTTATGAGAGCTTTAGAGGGGTTTTCCTTCGCCATTGCACCAATAACGGCCCCCCTCCTTTGATTTCCCAGATTTTTAATAAAGAATAAAGATATTTTAGATATAGCTATTTAGTGTTTTATTTGGTTTGCAATCGTTATTTCCAGTAAACCTCTGCTTCATTTTGTTGACAATGACAATTTTTCATAGTACTCAATTCACAATATATCTTTTTATTATTTTACATTTGTGATAAAATATAACAGAATTCAGTGTAAGGTTCTAAAAAATGAAAATGGATAAATGTCAATTTGGATTTAGGCAAGGCAGGTCTACAACAAGCAATTTTTATTAAAAGAGCTAATTTAACAATTTAGAGTGAATTTACATTGTATTATTAAACTTGAGAAAGCACATGATGAAGATATCAGAAACCTACTGTGGCAGAGATTAAGTAGGAAAGGAGTGCCGGCTGAATATGTGAGTGGAGTATGAGCAAGTAACAACTATAATAGTGTTAAAACAACTATTATAGTGTTAGAACGATTACAGGTGAAACTGGCAAATTTTGTGTAAAAATGGGTGAAAATCAGGGTTTCGCCCATATTTATTCTCATTTGTGCTGGATTAGATAACAACTGAACCTCCTGGGTATTAGTAGAAAAGAGTAGCAGAGACAGGTCCTTGAAGAAAAATGATTAAAATTAAGTTGGATACAAACAAAATATTTAGAATATTCTTTTAAAGATGAAATTTCAAGACCAGATAGAGTAGTTGGCT